TTCTCATTTAATTAAGAGATAAGGTTACAGTAGTAGAATCAACCTCATTGTGTTACATTTCTAAGAGTTCATCAGAGAATACAATAAAAGAGGTAATTAAAAAGCACTTCATGAGAACCAGAAAACCATGCAGAAATTATATAAGCATATTTTTTTGCTTTTCAGGGAGTTACTTTTATATTGAGGGTGGTAGTGGGATGGGAACAGTTTTAGAACCAAGAGATAAAATGCATGAAGACACCAAGGAGGAGTGATACTGCCGATTTCCTTTCCCTGGAAGCAGCTAGATTTGTTTCCTGCAGGCTTCCGTACTTTGCAGCAAAACTAAAGAGAGAACTGACCTTTCAGGGTACTGAGAACTCAACCTGCTCATGATCGGGGACTGGGTCTCTATGTTTGATGTTTGCTGTCCTATGTAGTAGTGATGTGTGGATGGGAAACCATAAAATATCAGTACAGCCAAAGTCCACTTGCTTTTCTATGACTAGGGTTTTGCTTCTTCAAAGTTTTACCCTCTGACTCTTATTTAACACGTAAAATAACCTTAGAAGTCTGGAACTTGCTTTACCATTTTTGATAAGGAAACCAAGGCTCAGGATTTAGATAACTTTCTCAAGTGACTTGGGAAAATACAAACCTAAAGTTTACACAACCAAATTTGTCTCTCTCCTTCAGTATCTGTCTCTTGACAGGAAGAGCTTCTCTTGGGTTGTAAAGCTACAGCCTTGTGAATGTTATTATACCGTATACAGAAAACTTGGTTTGTCTTGTACAGAGCTGTGCTCTCATTTTCTCTAACGGGGTATAAAGTGTTTTCTGACAGTCCATTCCAGGAATCATCTAACTTTAGGGTGCAAAAGAATCATTGAATACATTTTAAAAAATTCAAATTTGTTGTTTTTATTCCAAAGCTAGGGGTTCTGCATTCTGACGCCTGTCCTAGGCAGCTCTGTTTCCCGTGATGGCCAGAACAGTGAGAATAGAGCTCACGTGTTTTTACTCCCTTGATGCAGTATCAAACAGTGACTCAGATAGTTTGTTTATCTCTTGTGTTTTTGTCTTTGAATTCATAATGTTTTTTGATTTTGACATGTTTTTCTCCTCTGGAATTATGACGTCACCACTGAATTGTGTAACTTTTAAAATAATATGATAAAAATTTCTCTTAGATTTGTTTGCTTTGGACAATCCTATCAGGTTTCATATGTTTCAGTGACACAAACCTATAAAATCTTTTTATGATCCTTCTAGCTTGAACAGTTTTGATCCTTCTGTAGTAATTGTCCAAAATTCAGTTACAAGATAATGATTTTCAATTACTGTTCTACCACCCCGTCTGGTAATTAAAGCAATCTCTTGGAGGCTTTCAGGTTACTCATCTCTGTAATGACACATACCTCACTGGATTGTAATGAAAATTGAGTCAGAAAAGGCATGTTGACTTCATAAACTGCAAACATTAAAGGAATGTCGGTTGACTTAGCTGCTATTAGTTTCAGACCAGAATATCGCTGCTGGCTTTTTTCAGAAGGATAATGGAGCTGAAACAGAACTGGGCTGTAAAGACTGGAATCAATCAATGCACTGTCAGCAAATCCACAGCCCCAGCCCAGGTTCCAGTGTGCACAAGGGCTCCGAGTGGACTGCTTTAGGGTAAATGAGAGGACAGACATCAGTGATACCAGCCTGGAACGCTTCCCTAAGCCTGCCATGAAGACAAAGCCTGACCCTTGAGAAGTCTGAAGAGTGATCCTGTCTGAGATTGTGTACCCAGAGCTACAAAAGGGAGCTTCCTGCATCAAAGTCAGTGTGGACAAACACACACAGTAAAGACAGAGTCTGCCCAGGAGTCTGCAGCTTTGGGAACGATAGATGGCTTAGGAAGAAAAGTATTGCATTCCACGTGAGGAATTGGGTACCAGCAGCAGTGACAGCAAAGAACCGCTGCCTTTGGAAAGCTTGTTGGTGGAAGGGTATTATGCAGGGACTGAAGGAGAGAAAGTCTCAGCCCATGAGTCGACCTTGGGGATTCTGAGAAAATGTGGAAATTTGGGGAGGGATGCGTAGTGCTTGGCTGTCGGAGTTTCTTCAAGCTCAGGACAGAATTTTCTCCTTATTCTTAACCTTCTTTTAAACAGATTTTCTTCTTGGTTGATGGCACCAAAAATACATACCCTTAGTTGAAGTCTGTGGTCTAAATTGCAAATAGACACACACTTCTGCTCGCACTGTCACTGTCTTTCATGTCTCATGGGTACCTTGGACTCAGGGTTTTCCAAAACATAGGCACAACCAAACCTGTGGTTTGATCCCAATCTTGTATTCCTTGGATCAGTTTATGATTGTACACCTATTCAGCTGTACCACTTTGTTTCTCTTTGTCCTCATTTTAGGCACTCCATCAAGCCCTTTCAATTTTATGCCTAAATATTCACGATGCAGGCTGCATTTCTCCATCTTGCGTCAGTGTGACGACCGTGTCTTTCATTTGAGCCCTCGCTGGTGTGCCCATTCGCCTTTCTACATCTTCTAACCTTCCCTCATTTTATCTTTGAACAGCTTCCAGACTGATCATTTAAAAAGGCAAATCTGTATTATTGTGCCATGCACTAGCAATGAGCCCTCAGGGATCCTGCACTGTTTTTAGGGGGACACTGCAGTCCTCGGTGGGGCTGCTGTGATCGCAGGTGAAGTCCATCTCAGCAGCAGCTTTTTTCCTTTGTTCTCTTCCTCCAGGTCTTTCCTCAGCTTAATGGAAGCTTCCAGCTCATTCTCAAGCCAAGGGCTTTCATCTGTGTTTGCCAAGAGACTCTTTCCCCTCCATCATCCAGTTAATTTCTTGATTTACAGGCCAAAGAATGCAGCATTAGAATCAAACAAAAATCCCTTGCTGTGTGCCACATTCTTTTAACACCTCGACTCTCCCATCATGGTATTTAGAACACTGGCCTGTCTCTTCCTCCAAGGTGAGACTTCTTTTCAGGGAGAGACTGTATTGATTTTGTTCACTTTTATGTCACCAGTGCCTGGCACAGGTGACATAATTGTGGACATTTTGTAAATAGCCAGTAATTAAATAAATACAAAATCCTGGGAATTTCTTCTTGAGTGTGCTGCTACCCTATTTCAGTAGCATTCCATCCAGTGACTCGTCAAAGCCCCACACTAACAGGCCAGCTGGATGCGCATGCAGGCATCTAAGATTGTTAACTAAAGAGCACATTTTTTCTTCCCCCTAAAAGTAATTACTGGTTGCTAAATATTCAAACATACATTGAAAAAGCAGCTCATTAAATTATGTTAAGAAATAAATTACTATTGCTAATTGCTTCTAGTAGTTAATTACTTCTAATTATTAGTCTGAGTAATAAATTACAGCTTCTGATTATGTTGTGGCACAGTTGGAGCATTCAAAAATGTAATTTTCCTAGTTGTTTATATCAGAACGTGTTTATGGGATTACAGAGCCATAATTACCCCAAATAACTGGTAGCAAAAAATAATAAACTTTTGATAAATTCAATTGAAATATGTCATTTCTTTGTCAGCTTATTTAGAAGATCAAGCATTAAAATGAAACAACCATGCTTGACTTTTCCAATCTCTTCAGGGAGTAACAATATGTTAAAAATTGTGATTTTTGTTTTATTTTGGTTGAATGATAATAAATTTAAGTTTCTTTTGTTATTTAAAACAAGAAAAATAAGCAGTCTTTGAATAGTGTTAAAACTTAGGCAATACCATCAGCAAACAATCCATAGGATGAAATAAATTAGGGCTACTTCACAATATGTTGTCAAAAATAGTAGAAACTCCACAAGTATTTTACAGAGTTACAATGCAGCTAAAGTACACAAGCCTAAGTGTAGGACTTTCAGACTTCCATTCCTCTAGCTTGAGTTCATTATTGCATTTACCAGTCTCGCCAGACCAATGACAAGATTAGGTAATCTGTGAAACTGACTGTTTTTAAAATATTCCTACTAATCGTCACAATCTTATTTCATCACTATCTGTTCTCCATAGACATCTGCCATTGTCCCTTGTGTGCTAGGCCTGATTTTCAGTGGCTCCTAAGACCGTTATGTCTCTCCTGCAATCCCTTCCCTTTGAATGTGGGAAAAGCCTGTGACTTGCTTTAATGGATATGGCTGAGGTGATGGGGGTGTGCACGATTCATGTGAGTAATTACTGAAAAGTTCAGAACTGTCTGTCTCCCTCCATGGCTGGTTTTGAAAAAGCCAAGCTGGGAAATATCTTGTGTCAAGGAACCATGATGGTCTCTTGGTGGCCAGCCCTCAGGTGACAATCAGAAAGAAGTTGGAGCCGCTGATCCTACAGCCACAAGGTGCTGAATTCTCTCTATAGCCTGCGTGAGGTTGGAAGCAGATCTTTCTCCACTGTAGCTGAGATAAGGTGTCAGCCCCAGGTGACAAACTAGAATCCTTGTGAGATCCTAACCAGAGACCTCCACAAAGTTCTGCTCATGGAAATTGTGACACTAAATGTGTTGTTTTAAGGAGCTAAATATGCAATACTGAACCTTAGCAGGACCTGGAATTTTCTCTTTCTACTGTCCCTGATGGTTACGAATTCATCAGAGATAGATCTTCCAGGAAGATTATTAGAGGTTGCTAATTCCCTCAAGCGCTGATAGATGGTTCAGTTAACAGAGCACAGGATTTGGGACAGAAGCCTGCTAGTCTGACAGTGAAATCACCATTTTAATGAACCTAAAATGCTGGAATGTCAATAATTCCGTGAACATAAATACTTTCTGAGTCTTCCACAAATAGCTATTAGCTTTGATTACCTCACTTAATTTCATTGTTTCTCCTTCCTTACCTGTCCAATCAGGAATAATAATAACTAAGATGTTTTACAATTTTACCTACTTTATCTTGTTGGATCCTCACAATTGCTGATGGCAGGTTTTATGAATTCCATTTTCAGAAAAGAAAATTGAGGCTCATGAAGAAAAACAAGCAATATAAAGTTACCTGGTAGCACAGGCAGGACTCAGACCTGGCTGAGATGATTCCACAGCTCATCCTTTTGAGTTTATTGTGCTACAATTCTTTCATCAGGGCGATACTCCAGTGTGGCCACAAAAAGTTGGGCTTTATGTCCAGATGGATCTGGGTGTGAAGTATATTTTTACTCTAGTATATCTTCTGGAAAAGTCACTTCTAGACTTGAATTTGCTTGTGTAAAATATGTGGATAATAGTATCTATCTCATCAGATTCTTTTGATAATCAATTGAGTTTATACTGCCAAGGCTATACCAAACAGTCAGAAAATCAGCTCTATTTATTGGCATCATAAAGTCAAAACGAGTTTATATGAATAAAAGCATCTCTTAACTAGTGTCTTGGTACATTGTAAAATTTATTGCAAGTGTGTAGTCCTTAATTATTTGGAAAGTGGAGAGCTGCTTATATAATTAGTATGAATCAACACAATGACCAACTAATTAAGTTATAGGTCCAGGAGAATTAGCCAAAGAAAGAAAAAGAGTAAATCATTTGACTCTCCTTAGAGCATATGACCATTTTATAGGCAAAAATTAACAAATTTTGTTAACAAAAATTAATAAAGTCCCAGATCATAGACACACACACACACACACACACACACACACACACACACACACACACAGATTTCTTAATGATCAATAAATAATAGAACTCACCATTTCATTTCCATTTTTGACTTATAATTAGTTGTTTCAGCAAAGCTTGTCAGGCAAATAATCTGGAAGGAGAAGAAGAACTGTGAGCCAAGGAGTGACAACGTATGAATTCAGTTTTAAAATAAAACTCTCTTAGATTGAGAAGAGCCTGCAGGGAGACTAAGTGGAAGCAGGAGGAGAAGTTATTGTAATCTAAGAAAGCTACGGGTCAGTGTGACTGCAGTGGAGAAGAGGAGAAGAAGGAACGAGGGAGAGAAGAAGGGAAGAGATGGGTAAGGAGAGGAGGAGGGCAGGGACAGAGGGAAGGAGGGGGCAGAGAAGGAAAGGGGAGAGAGAAAGAGAGAGGGAGAAAGGGAAAGAGAAAGGAAGAGAGGAGAAGAATAAGAAGAAGAGGAGGGAGGAGATGAAAAAGAGATTGAGACTGATTAAAGCTGACTCTACAGTATGAGCTCTGGAAGGATGGAGTCGATACTCCCTGAGGTGGAGGTAACTGCTTGAGGGCTGGATTGATGCAGAGGACCAGGTTGAACTCCAGACATGTGCATGTTGAACATTAGATGCTTGTTAATGTTCACTTAGTGATGCTAACAGGCTGTAACAAGTCCCAAGCCCAGGGCAGCATCTGAGTTATCGGTGTGCATTTGAAATCTGATACATGGTTGGTTGGTATTTGAAATCGGGAGCCTTCAGATGCTCTCCAAGGGACTAAGGTACAGGAAGCACTGACGGTGGCCTGGAATTGGTGGGCAGAGGTAGAAGGGTGGGAAGGGGTTGAGTTACCATCAGAGTAAATGGAGTTGAGGGAGCAGATCATCAAGGTGTGACTCTGGTCACCTGAGGGATGGAAGAACGGACTGGGTGAGATGTGATGATTAGGGAGAAGCAGGCACCAGAGCTCATCAGGGCTCATCAAGAACACGGGAGTGGTTCAGGGCACTTGTGACTGGGCAAAGCTGCAGAGTGGCAATCAGGGGGTTCACCAGGGAGCACAAACATCCTGAATTCTTTTTGTTTGTTTAGTACTGGGGACTGAACTCATGACTTCTCACTTGCCAGGAAGCACTTGTGCACTAGCTAAATCCCCAGACCAATACCCTGAATTCTTAAAGGAAGAACCTAAAGGCAGTGAAGGTGCAGAGACACAGCCTGGGCTCTGTAGGTATAGTGGATGATGTCACCTTGGCAAGTCTAGAAGCTTAAGTAAATAACTCGGCAACTTTACATCCCTGGATGCTCCTGGATGTAGTTCATCATGTCAACTTGAGAAGTTTAGAAGGTTAACTAAGTGACTCAGCAGGGGACCAGGGTCCTTACTTTGTGACATCCTAAGCCTGTGACAGAGGAGGGCAGGGAGACGGTGTGAGTGCTATACCCGACACAGGGCAGGAACCTGCTTACACTATAGAGGAGGGAACAAGCTTCTTCTCCCATTCTGTTCGTGCTGCATTTGCTGTCTTCTGCTGCCTTGAAGTGTTGCTCTGGTGCCATGGCACCCTGCCTTGGAGCCAACTGATTATGGACTGGAACCTCTACAAACTATGAACTAAATAAACCTTTCCTTCCTTATTTTTGGGTGACAGGTATTTTGTCTCAGCAACGAGAAAAGTAACCAAGATATAACTAAGAAAAGGAACTAAGCCATAATCCCCAGACTCTCATCTCAAGGCTGCTCCTTTCTTTTTACTGCTTAATGTTGTCCAGTCTGCAGTTTAGATAGGTAGAGAGCTGAGCAGATGTTATCAAGTGTCTTGGTCTCTTTCTTCATCAGTGAGAAGCAGTACCTGACACCTGCAAACTGGAGGGGGAGAGGATGATTTTGGTTCACAGTTTGTAAGAGGTGTTGGTTCATAGTCCACTGGCTCCAGTGCAGGGCAGCCTGGCAGAGGGGTGTCACAGGGGAAAGGCTGCTGACTTCAAGGCAGACAGGATGCAGAGAGAGAAGGGAGGAGCTGGGAAGGAAAATGGGCCCTTTCAGGTCATGCCTGCAGTGACCTATGAGAGCTCTTCCAACTGGTTCCTGCCTCCATAATATGACCACCACTCAAAGGCCTCACCTGTGTGTCTGGGGGACATTTTAGACCTAAACCATCACCTGGGAGCTAGATTTCAAGGGGGAATAATACACAGTGCGTTGCTAGGTAAGTGCTTCTTAACATGGACTTCACTCTTCTTCTAATTTGGAGGGAAGTTCAAGGTCTTCTTTGTCAAGGTCAATAGGAAACTTCAGACGGTAAGTGGCAGCGACTTATTCCTTCTTTTGCCTTGGGGAAGCAACCAGCAAGTGTACAGTTTCTCAAGCTGAGATTCAAAGAAGCGATCCACACAGGAAGATGTGAGAGCCTTTCCTGCAGCTTGCAGCTGGTCTTCTGCAGTGACCGACTCTGGCAGTCGCTGCCTACAGCTGCGCTGATTCAGTATGGACTGCTCCTTCTCAAGGACTGCAGACTTTGTGGCCTAGACCAGGGGTCAGAAGATAATGGTCCCTGGGCCAGTGTGGCTCACTTTTGGTTTCTATCGGAGGGGCTGAGTGGGATGCAGTCACATCCATTCAGTTTTTGGTGGTTTTCATGCTGAAACAGTAGACTTGATTGCTTGCAATAGAGAACATGAGTCTTGAAAGCCTAAACGTTTTACTGTTTAACTCTTCACAAGAAAGAAGAACTTGCCATTTCCTGGCCAAAGTATAATCAATACATTTGAGTTTAAGCTAGTTACCCTAAAAAGTTTCCATGAGTATCCCCAGTGTTTAAGAAAATAGAAGAGAGAATCCTGATAGAGTTAGGGTTCCCTAGGTGCAAAGTATTAGTGAATGGATAAAAGTTTCAGCATTGTTTTTTTGGGAATATGGTTTACTTGTGCTGGTGTCTTTTTTGAAAATCCAGGCCCAGCCTTAAGGTGGACCCTTGTATCACCACAAAAGTCCCCTCCTTTACCAAGTTGGCCGGAATTCTGGAGTGCACCCATGTGAAACACCTGATTTAGAGGTACCCTGTGTCTATCTCAGGTTGCTAGGTATTGGAAGCATTTCCACATCTCAGTGTCAAAAATGTTTGTATCACTTATAAATAATACACCGGCCTTAGCGTGTGTGTGTGTGGGGTGGCGAGACGAACAGAGAAAAACTGAAGACAGTTGGGTAAAGGCAAAACCCAGCTGGCTTCACTATTTTTGAATTTGGAAATATCTAATACATCCAAATTTTGAAAAACTTTTTGTGACAGTTTGTTGGAACATGAAAAGGAGAAGAACCAAAGTGGGAATCATGTTTGTAATATTGAGTTAGTGTCGTTGTCATAAATGACTTCCCCTTCATCTTTGGTGATCCCTCCAGAAATCCACGCTGGGGGTCATTCTGAGTCTTTGTCAGTGTGCACGAGTTTGATGGGCCCTGACTGTGGTCAGCGCTCACAGCCGCCTGGCACACGCACTATGAATAGTTCAAGATGTGCAGCTAGGGGGTTGCTTTCTTGGGGCCCGTGCATCCCCTGACTGGGAGCTGTTGAGGTCAGGGGGGCTCACTGGCCCCAAGAAGGGTGAACAGTTCCTCATCTGACATGCTGAGGATGTCACTTGATCAGGGTGATGTAATGTTAGTGCTAAAAACAATCGACCGGAAGACAAGACAAAGGAAGGTAGCTTGGGTAATTTAAAATACTTTCAGGGTAATCCTCTAATCCTACATTCTTACTGTAACAGTTTACACATAACTGAAACCATATGGATGTTTAACAAGTTATCTCCTTTTCCTGAGCACAAAGAAGGAATATTTCAGCCTCCCTCAAGCCCTGAAAGATCCGGCCTCTGCCTTGCATGGCCAGCCACAGGCCAGTGTTAAAGACGTCTGTGTCACAGGATGGGAGGAACTTGGTTCCTGAGTCATTTCTGGGAGAAATGTCAACCTTTGTTTGGAACTGTGCTGTGAGAAGAAAATAAAACTTTCCACTTTGTTCACACCACTGAGATTTGGGGTTGTTTGTTGCAGTGGTTAGTTATCTTCACGGTGCATTTGCATTACATGGTGAAATTAGATAAAAGTAATTAATTTTAGGAGAGGAATACTTTCAATTGAAAAATAACTTTCTATGGAGCAATGAACATGAATGAACTGTAGCCCATGTATATAGTTACAAACATACGTTCAGCAAAAAACATGAACCAAACAAAAATACATGCCATACCATACCATTCCTACAATGCCGGAAATCAAACCGGAAATCAAGAAAACTTAGTGATACACTGTTTAGTCATTCAAACACACATGGAGAAATTGAAGAGCAAAACAAAATTGAAGATGGTAATGCAGGGTGGTCGGCCATAGGAATGCCAGCAGGGAGAAAACAAAAATTCAAAACTCTTGGTAACATCTAATTTCTTAAAGTTGGCTGCTGGTACAATTTTGCATTTATTTAATATTCTTTATAACAAATAGTTAATATATATATATATATATATATATATATTTTGTATATATTAAAAACATGAGAAAGTCACACTGCTCATTTAACTTGCCAATGCAATCATATATATATATCTAACATTTAATTGTGTACAGTTGCACACCACACACTCAGTGGTGGCTTGCTCAGACACACTGATTATGCACTGTATGGTGTTGCACAGCACTACAGATTCACAGAGGCATTACTGCAGAGGACTTTAGGTATAGAATCTGAGAGACTGGATGGAATCTGTGGTGGGTCAACTGATAGTCTGTCACACGCAGCTGAACTGAGTCAGCGTGGCACTGGGAATGGAAGGTCCACCCGAGGATTGCTGCCAACAGCACTGAAACAAAAAACAAACAAATAACTTGGAGGGGAAGATGGTGCAGTTGATTCTCCAGGAGAAGCTAGAATGCTGACTTTCCTGATGTGAACTCAGCTGTCCTCATGGTCAGAGGAGCTCAGGTCCTCGCTGTCACTGAGGATGGCTGCTGTTCTCTGCAGGGGGAGCTCTGGTCCTTCCTTTGAGTATTGCTTCCTGGCTCAGGGCGGATCCTTCATCCTGCTGGTGCAGATTTTCTAGCTTCCACTGCTGACTTTTGGGCCTTCCCAGTGCAGATCCATGAAACAGACTTGCATGAGACTCTGTTGTGGGCTCTAGGCCTCCATGTGGACTCATGTAGGACATTGTTGTGGGCTCCAGATCCTCAGCTGGCTTCTTTGGGTCTCTAGTGTATGGACAGATCTCCCATGCTGTTTTGCATTTGACTCTTTGGATGAATATTATAAAATAATCTTATAAATTATGTGTCTAGTATTAAAAGATTTCCTCTGTAAACTCTGACTACAACAGTTACTTGTTTTTTCGTTTTGTTTTGTCCTGTTTTGTTTGAGACTGGGTCTCACGATATAGCCTATGCTGGCCTCAGACTTGAGGCAATCCTCCTGCCTCAGCTTCTCAAGGCTGGAATTACACCTTTCCTGCCTTTGATGGATTTTCAAAATAATTTTGACAAGATATGGGTGTTTACTTACTGGCTGACACTGAAACCCAGGCCTTTATACATGCCACTCTGGTGTTCGACCTGATTCATACTGGGGAAATGGTCTCTGAACTGGGTGCCCGATCTGTACAGCTTAGGAGGTGGATTGTGGAGTTCTGTGCATTTGCTTGCAAGTGAGAGCACCTAAGCTAAGAGGGCTTTGCATTTGTTTTAGCCTGGAATTCAACAGCTCATGCTGGTTGCAGTATGCATGTATTTCATGCTGATTAAAAGTTCTGGTTAGCAATTTATCTATCTTTGATTAATTAAACACAGGAAAACCAATTTATCATTAGTCTCCACTTGGAAGACTAGATTTTTCAAAGCATGAGGCCCATGGGAAGAAATTAATAAAAAGCATTTCATTAATAGAGGTTGGTGAGAAGGTTTAGAAATGGTGTACTGCATTAATTTAAATTCAGGTTTCTTTTGTATTCATCAATTCATTCATTCATTCGTTTGTTTGTTCATTCATTCAAGCAGTATTTACTGAGGCCAAGTCTGTGTCAGACAGTTCCAAGCACGGAGGGTAGAATGGAGAGCAAAACCCGTGTCCCTGCCCTTGGAGAAGCACCAGCACAGGACTGGTGCTGGTGGCAGTGGGAAGAGAAGGCACAGGGCAGGAGCTGGAAAGCACTGCATGTGAGGCCAATCGATCTGCCGAGGGCTCTTCCTAGTTCTTCAGTGACTGCAGAACTTTGGGCGAGGGATTTAAGTTCTTGAAGTTTCAGATTTCCCTTCTGTGAAATGGGACAGCAGCATCAATCTCATGGAGGTCCTGTAAAGAGCTGGTGAATTTGTGCATACTTGACACCACACCTGTCTGTATGAAACTTGTCCTGTTAGTTCTCATGGGTCAGTTTCTAAATCTCATCTATCCCCCACAGGAAGCCTGTCTGTTACTTTTTACTCCTTGCTAGGACAAAATACCCAACACCCAAAATGAAGGAAGGAAAGGTTTATTTCTTACAGTTTGTGGAGATTTCAGTCCATACTCAGTTAGCACCAAGGTAGGGTGGCATGGCAGAGCTGTAGTTTGTAGCAGCCTCAAAGAGCAAGGCAGAAACCTGCAAGAGAGAGACACACCTTCCCACTGTTACATCATATCCTGGCTCCACCCGTAGGGGGTGTAGCACTTACACCACCAATCCGAGCGCTAGACAATGAACCAATCACAAACGCTAGATTTGGTTGCGTTTATAATGAGGCTTGGGGCCCACTGACATAAACCATGACAAAGCCTGGCTGGGCAATGTTTGGTACTGACTTTTGAAAATTTGAAAATCGGGTCAGAAGTTGGAAGAAATTTCCTAGGATGAACGTGGCCCTAAGCAGCAGAGCTGCTGGGAACTCAGACCCAGGTGTGCTCATCACCAGGCTGGGCTGTCTGGAAGCCTCAGGGCTCCTCTGTCATCCTGTGGATGAGAAAGTGGAAAGGGAGGAGCCCTGGTCTTTCCTGCTGAGGGATCTGTGATTCTTGCCATGCACAGGTACGGTAATGAAGGCATCCTGGGCAGTATATCAGTCCCCAGGAGCTGATAGCCACGTTTGAAAAATGTAATTTCTTTGACTCGATTTTTATGAAGAAACATACAACATCTGAACATTTCTTTATCTACTTCACAATATAATTTGACATGTCAGATCAGGCAGAAAAAGAGGGATTTATCTTTACACAGTGAGGATTTAGTTTACAAAACACAATGGGCTAGGTTCTTCTGGAATCCTTCTGACCAAGATCCAGCAGGTTCTGGAGCTCACTCAGAGGGCTCATAGTAAGTGTGGCTTAAAAATTGTGGCTGTAGTGAAGCCGACAGAATCTGCACATTAAAAAAAATATCTACTAAAATTTCATGTGCATAGTGTTGGGGAGGAGGAGCTGCCTTTAATATTGTGATCAATCTACTCCTGAGTGAGTCACAAGAGCTGTTTCTGCTGATTGTCAAGTTGCATTCATAGTGAAAGATCTTCCGAGAGAAAAGGAACTATTTCTCACTGTTCCCAAAGCTTATTGAATCATAATGCATATGATGGTTGTTTCATTTTTTATTTTTATTTTTGATTTTAAAGGGAATAAAACAAAACAATAAAATGGGATAAAATGTAACAGTGAGAACAATGTTGGATTTCAAAAACAAGACAGAAGGAAACTCCCATAATTGCTATATTGCATATTGTTATCCTCTAAATATATGCTCAGACTACCAGCTTTAGGCCTGCAAAGTCAATCAAACAATGCAAGTATTAAATTGTTTTTTTACTTCAGACGCTATTATCTTGGCCTGTGTTCCTGCAAATCAGCCAGTTGCTTACAAGGAGTGAGGGTGGGGAATACAGTGGGCAGGCAGTGGCACTCTTTGTGCCTCCCAGCCTGCATGCTGGCTGGCTCACCGAAGGGTGTAAGTTGGCCTCCTAGCCTACATGGCTGCTGTTGGCTTGATGGCTGTTTCATAACCCACAATGAGCAGTGAAATGTCCTGGCACCAGAGAGTCTCTTTCCATGAAGAAGCAGGCTGAAGACAGTAGCAGGAAATAAATAGATGCACCAGGTGTGATATCTCTGCTTTGAGGGAGAGAGAGAATGGCAAGACTACTGCAATTACGGGCCCCAGGGAACACAACACCATCATTCCGTGGCCTTGAGAGGGGTGGGAAAGTGCCAGTGATGAGCTCATGTGCAGGTCAGATGAAGCTGATGAGGTCTGTGAAGGTCTGGCTTGGAAGACTGCAGTGATGCCTGTGAAAGCTACAAGCTTGGGGTAAGAAACTGGAGCGTCCTAGGACTGCAGCAAATAATATGTTCCCACTTGCTGGATAAAGAGAGAGCCAGAGGGCAAAGCGAGGAAGTCACTGTAGCTAGTTAGGTGTTGGTGGTCAAACCCAGCTTCTGGACTCCTAGTCCAGTGCTTTCTTATCATCAAGTCCAGTTTCCAGGAGCATCCATTGGAACTTCCCTTCTGCCACAACTGTCCTTCTGGACCAGTCTGTGGCCAGTCAGGAAGACAGGACCATGACAGATAATTCAGGGTTATGGGTGGGCCAGTCAGAGAGGTGTGTGAATGAGTGGAAGGCTGGGGAGATGAATCAGCTTCACAACTGTCAGATGTCTGATTACTCTAGGTCTGAGACCAAAGGAGGAAAGTGTATGACCAGAGCCCAGGAGAGGTGCTACCCCAAAAGATCCATAAACTTGGAGGAGAGACCAGCCAGCAGAACTGGGGCCACAGCAGAGGGATTGCTGAGAGGAAGCTGGGCTAGGCAAGGCAGTGCAGCCAGGTGGGAAACATTTCCGGGAGTGAAGGAGCAGAATCTGGACCGTGACTGTTGCCTCCTAGAAGATGGTGTGCTAGCGTCTTCCACTGTACCACACTGCTGGGAAGCTGGTGGTGAAGAGCTGTAAGGAATGTGGTTTGTAGGGGTCAGAGCAGGGGAGGAGAGGGAAGCAATGGGGCTGAGAAAACTGGCAAACCAGCCTCCCAGCAACCCATGTGTCCCTCTCTGAGAGTTCTTTGAGGAGTTAACTTGCAGCAAGCTGGGTGTTGGGGACGCCTAGAAGAATTTGTGGGTAGTCCTGGAGTCATGGAGGCGTTAAAAAGTTGGGCCAGTAACAGTAACTAGGAAGTACCTGGCAGGTCACAGAGCAGGATGGCGTGTTAGAAAGTGTACAACTTTAGTATCTTTACAACACTACTCTGCCACAGAATATTTTATTTATCCATTCATCCATTGGTGGATATACAGGATACTTTCAAAATTTAACCACTATGAATTGAAGTGCTGTAAACATGAGTATGCATGTTTCACTGTGGTATAATGCCTGTAACTCCTTTGGGAAGGCATGATATCTAGAAGGGGATTAGCAAGGTCAAATAGAATCCTAGTTTTTTTGAGGACTCTCCACACTAATTTTCATAGTGGCTGTCCTAGTTCACATTCCTGCCACCAGTGTAGAAGGTTTCATTTCCCCCACCAGCATTTATTATTATTTGATTTATTGATTAAAGCCATTTTTGTGGAGGATGGAATTTCAATGTGATTTTAATTTACATTTCTCTAATAGCCAGAGATACTGGATATTTTTTACATATTGTTTGATGATTATGTACTTATTTTGAGAAGTGTCTATTTATTTCAGTTGCCTATTTTTAATTATTTCTTTTATTTGAGGGGTATCTTTTTTAAAAAAAGTTTTTTCTTAATATAATCTAGATACTAGTCAACTATCTAAGGAATAGCTGGTAAATTTTTTTCCCAAACTGTGGGTTGTCTCTTCAGGTCAGTTATTTTCTTTGCTGTGCACAAGTTTTTAAATTTGATATAATTCAATTTGTTGATTTTTGATGTTATTTCTTGTGCAGTTTAGGTTGTACAGAGAGTTCTTCTCTGTGTCTATGTCTTCAAGAGTTTTACCTCATTTATCTTCCAGAATAGAAGATTAAGTATTTCAGTTTTAAGATTTAGATCTTTATCTATTTTGATTTAGCTTAGTACATGGTGAGCTATATAGATCTAGATTCAATCTTATGCAGATGATTATTGCATTTCATAAGCTTGAACAAGAGCATTTCTCTGTCAATTTTCCAGTAATGACTGATAAATGACTATTTTATACACTTGTATAGTAAATTATATTACATTTAAAATATTTTTACACTGACTGGTTTTTGGGAGCTCTTATTCATAGTCCCTGAGTCATATAAATTGAGATGCGCATAGACACAAAAAAGAATAGAAACTTAGCTTGACCATTGCTAATGTGATAGCTCAGGCCCTGGGATAAAATCCAAGGGAACAAGAAATTAAGAAAACTTGGAGCAAAGGCTTTATTTTAGGCCTGGCAATAGAGCCCCCTTAGGATCGACCCAGAGATTGCGTGCCTCACAGACTAAGGGAGGGATATTTAAAGCTAAAAAACCCACAAAGCTGTAAAGCTGTAAAGCTGTTGACTTAGTCCTGATAACATCTGGAACTCTTGGTGCATTCTGTTGTTACTCCCACCCTGTGGTTAAACATTATCTCAGAACAGCACATTTGCAATAACATGTGGAAAGAGGGTAGGGGAGTTACAAGAAGCTGAAACTTAAGTTTTTTTTTTTTTTTTTTTTTTTTTACAAGAAATAGAAACTTAACCCTATCGAGACGGTGCATACAGAACAAGACAGAGGCACATTGGTTAGAGTTAGGCCATAACACTAACAGCTGAATCTTAAGTTTATACCAGATAGTGTCAGGAGTGACCTAGCATCCACTCACTTATTAATTTTTGCCTTAATACTTTTGATGTCTCTCTAACGTGTGAAGCAGTTTCTTATGTCATATTTTCAAGGGCGTAATAATGACAGTTATCACTTCTGTAGTGTTTACTATTTGCCAGGCACCATCCTCAGTGATTTAAATATGTCAGGCATGATAAAAAATAAGGTGTGTATTTAAATAAAACATTATTGCAGTAAGATGCACGTGGCCATTGCTCGCCCTCACTTCTACCCTACTTATCCCATCTCTCTTGTCACTGCAGCGGTTTTGGAAGTCCTTGTTCATGGGTGTCTTTGATGTCCTGAAGTGGTTCAAGGCATTAACTTTCCATGGTCACTTTGACTTTAGGGAGGAGCCAGAAGCCACCCGGAGCCCCATCTAGTGACTAACATAGGTGAGAACTCTCCACAGTATTTTTATGGGCTGCTTTGGCACTAAGTAGCAACACTCACTGCAGCTCTGATCACACCCTGTAAGTGCAGTCCTGAAAGATGACTTCTGGGGCTGCCTCAGTAAGCAGCAGGTGCTGGGGATACAGCTCAGCAGTGCAGAGCCTGCTGGCTAAGGAGAGGTCCTGAGTTCAGTTCCAGGTACCACCCCACCCACCCCCAAACTAAAGACAGTAGCAAGCATGATGGGCTAAGTGTGTTCAAAGTGGGGTATTTCAGGAGGAATTAATAGCAGTGTGTGCTTTACTTAAACACTCATGGTGTTTTCAGCTGCTACTTGTATTACTCGCTAACACTCACAAAAACCCAGTAGGCTGGTCCTCATTATTACTCTCACTTAACAAACAAAGGAAGGTGATCCAAAGAGGTGAAATAACTTGCAGAAGGTC